CCCCCCCCGCCCCCAATTGGGACACGTACCGCTAGATACGCGTGTACGAGCTTTTGGGATTTCGAACCGTTACCAAGCCGCCCACGTGGGGACCCCTCGTCAGGTGGACCTCGGAATTTGAATACGTGTGTATGTGTATGTGTGTAAGTGTGTTTTTGTGTCTGTCTCTTTCTCTCTCTCTCTTTTTTTTTCTTTCATTCTTTATGACTCAACACCGATACGATTCACAAGATATCGTCGACATAAGTAGATGCTTCCTCTTCTTCTTCTTCTTCTTCTTCTTCTTCTTCTTCTTCTTCCAAAAAGGTGCGGTCCTTGGATGATTATGCTAAACAGTCTCGTACAATTTTCTTTTAAATACCTTCCTCAATCTTTTACACCTTCTTCTTCTTCTTCTTCTTCTTCTTTATTCGTTGGTTTTTTTTGTCTATATATATCTATCTCTCTCGAATAAAACAGATACAAATTCTAGGATATAATTTAGTATTACTGATCACAATTGTGGAAAAAAACAACAACAATGAATTCGGTCTCACGGTTAAAAGAGACCATCTCTCGATTCAATTCACGCAATGGTCGTCGAACGTAATGCCAAATCTGTGACGTACATGTTAAAAAAGTTAAACCGTCCAACTTCGATTTCGTTCGTATTATTTGCGATATCGCTTTTTAAGAAGAAAAATGAAAGTTACCACGCTTAAAATCCTTCAATTTTACCACTTTAAATGTAACCAGATGATTTTCTTATATAAAAATAAAAAAACAAAAAAACAAAAGTAGACCACAGTGTAAATGTGTCCAGTTATTAATTTTTATCGTCGAACATACTCTCTTATAGTCTTTATAAAAATAATCTTTTAAATATGACACTTAATAATTAATAAATAAAATAAAAATAAAAAAAACAGAGGAGAGTAAAGATATATTTTCCAATTTATAATTTATTAAAATTCGTTCGAAAAATAAAAAACAACGATCAACTGGACAACTATGATCGTTATCAACCTTAAAAAACAAAACAATAAAACAATAAGAACCTTCCCCTTCCAAAGAAAAAAAATTAGAGTATAACAAATCATTTCCAGGAAGATAGAAAATTAGAACGAGAGTAAAAGAGGTGGAAAAGGGGTGGGAGGGATACGCGCAAAAAATAAGAAAGAATAAGAAGAAGAAACATGTAAGAGGAAGAGAAAGGGATAGATAAAAAGAACGAGAAGAGGTAGAAAAAAAAAAAAAGAAACAGAAAAAAAGAGCCACGTCGTAAATTAGTGGCCGATGAGCGTGCGAGCGGCGAGAGGGCCTGCTCGCGCTAAGGTGCACCTCTGGAAGGTGCATCTCTGGAAGGTGCACCTTCCAAAGGTGCGCAAGGCTCCTTCGTTCGAGGCGGTTTTATCGTCGGCCGACAGGCGTTTAACTTTACGAGCGGCCACGCCACGTATATACTCCTCCTTTACGTCCTTCTCCTTCCTCGTTTCTTCCTTCCCATTTTCTTCTTATTCTTATTCTTCTTCTTTCTTCCCTCTTTCTTCTTATTCTTCTTCTTCTTCTAGGCGCAGAGGCATGCTAATTCTCGTGACGCGCGTAACATTAAACACTGACGTTTAATCCGGTAAAGACGCGCGTGGCTTGTATTCGAGAGAATATTTTGCACGACCCTTTATATGTGGTTCGACCCAACCAAACACCAAGGAATATATTTTACTCTTCCTTTTTTTCTTTTACGTACCACACACACACACACAGATATATATGTAGAAATATGCATATAGGAAGTTAATACGAAAAAGAATAATTTGTATATTTTTGTTGTTTTTTTTTTCTGATTACAGTCATTCTTCGGTCGTACGTACAATAACCTGGGTAGTATTTCGGAATGCAAGAACGGAGGAAATTGCGTGATCAATAAGAAAAATCGTACGTCATGCAAGGCCTGCAGATTGAAGAAATGTTTGATGGTTGGTATGTCGAAGTCAGGTTCGCGTTACGGTAGGCGTTCCAATTGGTTCAAGATCCACTGCCTACTTCAGAATGGGACTAACTCTAACCAGAGTAACGATGTTGCATCCTCCGCCCTATCCCCGTTTGGATCTGCCTTCCTTCCGGGATTCTTACAACAACCTCAAGGTCAGCAGGCTGCTGCCGCTGCTGCTGTTGCTGCTGCTGCCTCCGTTTATGGGTCTAAGGACGTCAAGGATTCTCCTCCTGATCAATCGAGACAATTTCCTGAACAAATCAAATCACCTCATCCGGATGACATTGCTTTGCACGCACAATTGCATATGTTAAATTGGCAAAGAGATAACGATAGGACATATCCTAATGGTCAACAACAACAACAACAGGCATCTTCGGAACCATCGAGGGATGCATTGTCACCCTCTTCGCGTAAACGAAGAAACATCGAATCACAACAAGAACAAGAACAAGAAGAGATGCAACAACAACATCATCATCATCATCATCAGCATCAACAACAACAACAACAAGTGTTGCAACCAACTTCTTCGCCAAATTATTCGCTGAATTATATGCAATCGGCGGATGTAGTACCTAGTAGTGTACCTGAAGTTTTTCGGCCATTCTTATCGAACTGCAAAACGTTATCGGAACCGGCAAGTGATTGCGGTAGCTCCCCGAACGATAATGGAACCGATAGACTTCAAGATGGCGAATCTAGATGCAATTCTGCCATGAGTTATTCCAATTCCAAGAGAACATCACCCGATCAATATTTTCCAGCTAGAAAAATCAACGCAACTGTAACACTCACCACTGCTGGTTATTTTTCTTATCCTCCATTAGGACTTATTTATCCTCAAGCAAATTTGGTAACACCGGCAACGGCATTACGTACTCAACGTGGCGGTGACGTTCCTCTCGCAATTCCCTGCATTGGTGGATTAGCTGTCGAACAGAAAGAACCTATCGATCTTAGTATTAGGTCTAGTCGGAGTTCAACTAGATCTAATAATAATCTTACGGAAAATGAGGACAACGATGACGACGATGATAACGAATCCAATGAAAAAGATGACAGTTCGAATAGCGATAGTTCAATTAACGGGGAAACTAAAAGAAAAGGAAAACCTTTGGATTTAACATTGACGGTTAAAAGCTCCTCGTTATCGTTTATGCTTTAAGGAACATTTTTATAAATCTTAAAAACTCAGATGGGTAGGCTCTGGTCTTGAAATAATATAATATGTGTTCATTATTTGTACAATGGAACTTCCAGTATTTAACGATTCTAGTGTTTTTCCATGATCCCCATTATCTAAATGCATTATTATTCAAACGTTCTGTGTAACAGTGGTTCTCAAACTTTTCATATTCTAAGCCCCCTTTAATAGAAATCTATAAAGTTTATCATTAAATGAAGTTAAATGTTCTTTTTATATTAAAGGATTAACTAAAAATAAATAAAATACGTTTTTTTCTGCACAGGTTTCAGCCAAAAAAAATAATTAATAGTTTAATGGCTTGCACCAAGTCCGATTAGATTTTGTATTTTATCATATCGAATATATGTTACGCAGTGAACGTTTTAGGAACCACTGGTTATACATTTTCCTATTTCTGTGTCATTTACTATTATTAAAATAATAAAATCGAGATGTGGTAAATCCTTTGTACCATGTTATATCTTTTTTATTGCTCCATTTGAGAAATTGATATCGTACGCAATTACAATTCTCAATAAATGATATTACGAAAAACGAATTGTGCAGTACTAACAATTAAGTGTTAAAATAAAATTTAAAAAAAAACAAAAAAATATAAAAATATATATATATATAAAAAAAAACAAAAGTTTATAGAGAATATTCTATAAATATTAAAAAAATAATGAACAAGTGTGTTGCGCGAAAATTCTTAGATTATATATAATTTTGAGTGATTTGCGGTTATGGAAATGAAAAAAAAAAAAAAAAAAATTAAACACATTTCATACAAATCATTGTAGTCCCATTTACGAATAAAACTTTGATGGAGCCAAAGAATAAAAAAAGTGGACTATACTCTTTGAATAGAAAATATGCATGTATAAATTGTTTTATAATAGACAAATTTTCCTAATCGGAATAGTTAGGTTTCTTTATTAATTATGATAATACTGGATGTTCTATTGTATACATATACATATACGCTTGAGTGAATGAAGCGAAATTAAACGATACGATATCGCGCTTCTATATCTCGTAATTTATTTCGATTAATAATAAATTACGATACAATTTAAACTCTATCGATTTTTTCATTGGGGGTCGATATTTAAACAAAAAATATCATAATATGTATACATGTATAGATAAATTAGTCCCCTATCGATCAAAATCATATTATAATACAATAAAATATAATATATATGTATGTATATATATGTATGTATATATTTTGATATATATGTATATGTATATATATGTATTTATATTAAACGTAGAGGGATATGTATATATTTTAAACAAATCTCTGCGTGGTATATCACACAAACAATCTCGATCATTCAATAAAAACTTTGTTTTTTTTTTTTTTCATGCATTATCCTATTGTACATCCAATGTTTAAGTAATGTAATTTTTTTTTTGTTTTTTTTTGATTTTGAAATAAAACACTCGTACCGATATACAATTAAAAAAAAATAAAAGGGAACGACAAATGTATTCCACGTGTAATCTAATTTCATACTCGATCAAAAAATTGATCGTAATATATAATATATCAATAATATATTATATATATGTATAAATAGTAAAATATAATCTGTCAAGATATGTAAATAGTAAATTAAGTAAGTTAAATTGTCTACGAAGTCGATATCGTTTTCCTGCTTATGCTTGGTGTATGAATTTTTCTTTTTGCCGATAAAATATGAATTATTTTCTTTTATTTCCTTTTTTTTTTTATCTTTCTCTTTCTCTCTCTCTCTCTCTCTCTCTCTCTCTCTCTTCTCTCTCTTCTACTTATTTCTCTTTGTTATTATTTACTCTTGTTCTTTTTATTTTTCGACATTATATTTCTATTGTAAATGTTTCCTTGAAGACGATAAAGACTAATAGTCAATACCTAACAATAAGTATCAAACAAAATAAATATTTTTGTTTAATCAACGTTGTTATATTTCCTTTTTTTAATTCCTACCACCTTTTAAATAATAATATCCTTCTAATATTTAATAAATTATTTAGATATTTAATTAAAAAAAACAAGGATAAAAATCTCGTAATATGTATATGAAATATATCAAATGAATTTCAATCATAAAAAAACAATTATGTAAAGATATTTAATTATAGGTAAGAATATATAAATGATTTCTTGAAATTATCGTAAATTATTGAAATAAATTCTAATTATATTCAAGTAAATATATTAAAATATGTATTATACATATTTAGAGATATTAAAAAAATCAAATAATTTGAATCTTATCAAGCTTCAAGGTAAGTAAACATTTTAATATATTTAAACTTAGGTTTTTTCCCTAGTTTGATATTCCTATTTTAAAAGAGAACAAAGGAGATCGAAATCGATGAAAGATGGTAAACGTGAAAAGATTCATACTGAAGTGAAAGATCGAGTCAAGGTACCCGTTGCTCTCGATTTACTTGCTTTTACAGATCACTGAATCACGAATCTCCACGGGTAACCTTGCAAACGATGCGCCAACGTTTTTACTGCCTTTACATCAAGACTCCTCTCTTCGTTTATCGCAAACCATATACTCATACTACCTATTCATATACACTTGTATATATATATATATATATATATATACATATATTGGGTCGAGGAAAAAGTTTCTTCGTATTTTTCAATGTAAAAATGAAACAATTATTTTATATATTTTCTATTCAACGTTCTCCCTCTCAAATAATTTTTCAAACTGTTATGTGCAAGACGATTAATTTTTTTATTAAGTATCACGATTACAATAATATGTCACATTTTTACTAAATTGTTTTGCCTATTATTTCAACGACTATTAAAAATCTCATATTTATTTATCATCATTATTTTCTTTAAACTTAAATTCAAAATTGTGAATAATCACTGAAACCTCGAATAAACCTCAAATTCGATTAATATTAACAAAATTTATTTATACGATTATGGGATTGTAAAATGTATTGTTTATCGAGAAAAATACGAAAAAACTTTTTCCTCAACCCAATATATATTTTTATATATCTCATATATATAAATATAATATATAAATACAAGACAAACTTATGTACAAAAGAAACATACGTTAGTATAATACACATACGTATATAAAGTAGCACTTGGTGTCGACGTTTGCGGCTACCATTAATCAATGCGCCAGCAGGAAGCGCGATCGTTGGAAAATTATCGAGTTACGGATACCTGCCCACGCTGGTCTGACCTTGTAGGTTTACGTATCCGGATCCACGGTATATATCGATCTTCTTTTTCCTCCTTACAATAAATATCTATTCGAAGAACGAGAATGAGAAACAAGTATAAAAATACAATATAACTATATAATTCTCGATCATTTTATTTAACAACTTTAGATTACCATTGAAATTATTATCCGGGGGAACCACCACAATCACGAGTTTCTTTTTTTTATTTTTAAATATAATCCACTTATACATACATATACATATAATACGTTATATCACTCGAATACAAAGATCAATAGAAAAACTGATTACCAAGTTGTATTGGGAAATCGTTACGGATAAAGGCAATTAAAAAATAAAAAGAAATAGGAAAATAAAAAAACAAACGTTGAAATCTTATTGGACATTTGTTATCGAGTAATCGATAGTCTCAACCAACAGAAGATTAAATGATCGTTGGATCTTGATTTAACGAACTCGATGTAGCAATCATCGCCATCTTGTTGGCTATAATAGATACAGGGGGAGAGGAGGTGGCTAAGGGGGGGTTAGGGGGGAGGTAGGGAAGGAATAGAAAAGATAATAACTCGACGATGTTGGCCGTTCGAAAGGAACTGAACACACATCTACCACAACTTATATCTGCCTCCCACTTCATCCCTTCTCAACTTATTCCCCTACTTCATTCCTTTTCTATCGTGTTGTTTAGAAGAAGAAAAAAAAAAAGTACAAACAAAAAATATCTTCTAAACTGAATTCTATGGGATCGATCTTTCGCTATCGAAGAATTGTCGATTTGTCCTGAACAAATCCGAGCACCAGTCGGCGCATAGAATCAATGCGTTTGTACTTACATGGATCTGATACACGTAGGACGTTCCTATGTACTGGGTGTACGCGGATCTTCTGAATGTTTCGATGAAAAAAGAAATGAAAGAATGAAAGGAAGGAAGAAAGAATAGGAGAGATTGATAAACCGAGTGTGTTCTGTGTTTCGAGGAATAATTGATGATCATTTTTTTCTTTTATTTCTTGTAAGTTGTGCATTCAAGTCTAATGATTCCTCTTATTTTTTATTCTATCGATCTCAACGATCTATTATAATTATATATATATATGTAGTTTATACACGGATATAAACTGAATCGATCGATTATTTTTGTGTTTCTTTTGATTTTATTCTATCGAATACGTTGTGAAGAGATATTTAAATTAATTGTTTTATTATTTTGTTATTTAATTTTTGATTTATACTATCGAAGATATTATATTATTATTGTAATACGAATTTGTTTTTGATTGCTATCATAAATTATTAATTTAATAATACATTTTTTAATTGTCTACCGTGTGGAAAATAAATCGAAATGTAAATTTAAATTGGAAATTATGAAAACAAAAAAAAAGATAAACGAATGAACGAACGAACGAACAAATGAGATAAATACGATTGAGTTTATTAAGAATATTGTTACCAGGTAAAAGATGTTGAATTTAAAAATGAATTGAATTTAGATTTGATACACCCTGTAGATAGTTGCACGACTAACGCGGATAACAAACGATCGGAACCCGAGGCAGTGCGTCAGAGTCCACTACGACTGGTTACACCGGCAAAGCAATAAGCAATCGTTTAAACTCGTCATGACTCTATGCATGAGTTGGGCAACGCAATCCTGAGTTTGTACAGGACGATTTTAACCCGTGCGGTACTTCTCTGCTCGAGCTAACTTTACTCGAAGCTTCTCGCCGAGTGAAATATGGTAAGGTAGTTAACTAACGATAGGTTTCCGGTTGGGATACGATCATTTCGTTCAATATCGTTTAGTACGAATCATGTCTTTAAAGTCAATTCATGTTTCATACGAAAAGATTCGATCAATAAAAAATATTTACAGAATTGGGTTAGAATAATAATGAAAATGTATATTAATTTTTATCGTGAACAATATCATTGATCATTAGGTGTTATGATTATTATCTTTTTAATATGATTCCCTTAGTTAATAAAAACTGTATTTTTATATTATATATATATATGTGTGTTGTGTCTCTTTTTTTTCTATATTTTTTTAATACTTGACCAACGTGAATATAATCAAAATTTATTCATTTATCTACTAGTTTTATTCAACATTCCTGAATTTTAATATTATATGTATATAAATCAAATGCAATTGGTAACTCGGAAGATGTCTTGACGCTTTGTAAGCGAGATCTTGTTCTTTAGAGAATATCAACTTTTCTCTTTTCGTTGTACGCGTGCATGCGTGCGTGCATGTGTGCACGTGTGGACATTGCCATAAAAAAACGAGCATAATGT